ATGGAAAAAAAACCTTTATGGATTGAAGTATTGTCTGATAATGGTGCACATTATCATAATAAAGAGTTGATGATGATGATTAGTTGATGGAGTAAATGGTATAATATAAAAATAAGATTGTGGATTTTTTTGGAACCTGGTGAAGCAAAGACTACTGTTGATTCCCACCATGCACAGGTATGTTTATTTTATTAAAAAATTTCAAATGCTAAAAACTCCCAAAACACCCAAAAGTACAATTTTTTAAAGGAAATATATGATTAATATTAATCAAGTATTATTTATTGCAAATAAGATCGATAAAATCCAGGTCCGATTATTGATTATTGTATTGCGAGTTTGGCATATTCTTGCAATGCATGAATTAATTAATAAAAAATATTTAATAATTGTTGTAAAGGTGGAAAAGATTTTCAATACTTAGACTATCAATTTCAACGATAATGACGAGGAAAATAGTTTTATTATTATAGCAGCAAAGAAGTTGATGGTGAAGTTGATGGTGAGGAAAATGGAAAAGATAGCGGCAAGTGCTTCAGATTTAAAAAAATTCACGGTGAAAAAAATTTAAAAATGTGAATTGCCCAAGAACAAAGTAAAAATCTGTTATTTAGGAATAAAAAATTTCAAGTGCAAATATCCTGGATGCACTTAAAGCATTCTATCTAAATTTAATAGTGATATGATCTGATCTGTTTGGAGCCTTGATCACAACACACAAGATCTCGCCTTGGAATAAAATTGCTATCTAGTTCCTTAAAGATCATTGAAATGAAATAATAAAGCTTTGGAAGTATCAGATTTAATTAAATTTTCCTTTCAGATCCGGAATCAACGTCTAGACTCTGGGAGATTACCAAGAATCTCTTTAAAAGAGCCCAAATGCAACAAGAAAAATTTATGACCGCAAACATTTGGCGTGAACTGGGTTGTTTAATAAAAGGTCTGCATGAGTCTGCTAGGCCTGATAAGCTTGCTTGCCAGCTCACTAGTTACTCACGTGAGAAACTTAAATTTTAATCTCTCATTAACCCGAAGGAAAGATTAAATTTTATATTCACCAAAAATCTGAAATTTCTTGGTTATACAATCATAATAATAATAATAATAATAAAGATAAATTTGGATCTTTAAATGGTCCCATGGATGACGAAGGAGGAAATCCTCGGTTGAATTTTGCTAAAGATTGATCAATGAATGAATTCAAATTAATTAAGTGAATAAATTATATTAACGCTTTTAGTCTTTTTAAAAGTAGAATAAATTCGCGAGTTCTATGATTCATAATTTGTTTAACTTGTCAAAATAATAAATGAAAAAGCAATAAAGCAATTATTTTTTTTTGGAGGTGATTTTACAAATTGTACATAATTTTTTATTTGTTTTTATTTGGTAATTTGATCTATGTTAAAAAATGAGCTGGTCTTGGGACCGGTCTTTTAAAGACCTAGTTAATATTATTATACATTTTATTCTTAAGAAATAAATTAAAAAAAAAGATCAAAAGATAAATCAATATAATGAATAGATTTATAGTGAATATTAAATTAATCAATCATCAATTGATAATTCATCAACCTTATCAATTTTCTCAATACCTTTTCCTTTACTATTATTATTAGAATCTAATGTTTATTGATTAATATTAAATCGGAATAAAAAATATTGTTAGTAATAATAATTTCTCAATTAATAATGAATTTTTATTCGCCTTTGTTAAAATCAACTTTAGAGTTAAAATCAAGATCATTTAATGAATTATCATTACTTGTTAAACTTTTGGATTTAGCAATCTCTTCATCCAATATTCTACTTGTGTGGCATGCATCTGGATGTGATTTGTGTGATTGTTGCAAAGCACTATCACCACTAATAGTAGCATTATTATTATTATTAATTCTCCCATGTTTATTTTCAGCAAATACCAGAAACTCTCTAATGGTTGGTCTTTTAGATGGACTCACATCCCAACGCCTTTGCATCATTTGTACACAACCATAAGGCATTTTAGTAATATTGGTGGTCGCAAACCTTCTGCACATATATCAAAAATTAAATGATGATGATTATGAGCTCTATTGTTAAATGGTGGATGACCTGCAAATATTTCCCATATTAACATCCCAACACTATAAATATCAGATTCTTTTGTGTTCTTTTTGCCTCTAAGTTACTTGGGTGCAACATATGATACAATTCTATAGACTTTATTTGAAAACTTTTCATCAACTGGTCCACATAATCCTAAATCTGTAATATAACAATAACTTCTTTGCATAAGTATATTACCACCATGTAAATCACAATGAATTAAATATTTTTCATGTATATGACATAATGCATTTAAAGGTAGTAATTCTGTCTTTTAATGCAAATTACTCCTTAAATTTTTTTCTAGATAATAATTTAAACTATTGCATAATTTCCATTATCTGGAAATTTAGTCATACAATAGCATTGAACAATAGTGGTTTTTAATTTTACAATAATTCACTGCCTGAAAATAAATATAAAATCAATTAGTATTATGCAATAAGTATCATTTATTTTTGTTTTTAATGATAACTACTAACCTCATCAAAAAACCTTTTCCTGGATTATTTGAATCATTTAAACTTTTTAATACTACCTTTTGCTTTTCATAATAATTAAATTCTTTTTTAATTTCATCATAATCATCAATGCTTTCTCTTATCCATCTAGCAGCATAAATTGAACTAAATCCACCTTATGCCAACTTTTTTATATCTTCAAATTGCTCAAAAGGTATCAATTTCTAAAATATGGTTTGGCAGAGATGATTTCATTTGACATTGTTGAATAAAGTCATCAATTATATTATTCCCAGATGTCCAAGACCAATACTCTTTTTCATTTCCAGAAAGCTCCTTATTTTTTTTTGACCAATGAAAAAATTTTTTTTCTACTTTCTTTATCAAAATTAACTACTGCATTATTTCTTGTTTCATTGTCAGTTTTAAATACAAATCCCTTTCTTTCTGGTGGTATTGATAATAATAAATCAATATATGACATTATATAAAATAAAATGTTTTTATAAAATTGAAAATTTGACTTGGTTGATTTAATGATTTTTTTGTTTTGGGGGATAACACTAACTCTTTATTCATAATTTCTTTTTGGGGAGGATTTATTGATGATAACTCAGATTTTTATTGTTATTAAATAAATAGTTTATTTGATTACCTTTAAAATTCTCATTGATAAAGAATTTAATAGAATTGAAAATAAAACTTACATTATTTAAAGAATAACTTCATCTAGTGATTCAAAATTAAAACTCACAAAACCTATACCTAAACCTGTCTTATGTAAAGATTCTACATACCAATATTGACCAGCCTATGTGTATTCCAAACTCAGTCACTAACAGTTTTATTCTGTTATGTATTTATTATTATGCATAGTTAACTTAAGTCAAAATCAAGAAAAATCATCATGTACATGTGTTTCAAATTCAGACATTAAAGTCAGAGTCACTAATTACTTTTTTATCAGATGAAAGCATATTGCTTGTTGAAAAATCACTCTGGCCTTAATTGTAGTCATGATGACCTGCCTAGAGGAGAATCTTGTTGTTGAGATTATTATTGTTATTACTGATTTTGTTATTACTGTTGTTAAAGTTCTTATTGAAATCAATAATGCTGAAATTATTGCCATTCTTATGATTATTTTTGTTCCTATTGTAGGACTTAATTAATCACTATAGAATTTATTTCTATAAGTATTATCACCATTATTATTACCACTATTATTATTGCCAATGCCATTATTAGTGTTAGTGTTATTGTTAGAGTCAAAGTTTTGTCTTTATTGTTAAACAATGCATATCATTATTTCTGGTGCTAATTACTTTTTGGTTTGGATAGTGGTGGTTCTTCAATCACCCTTCTATTGGGGCTGGTCTTGTGTTGTTAGCTCTCCTACAAGTGTGTATGCTAAGCCCAATTGTTTTACACAGCTCATACCCACGTATAAAACATTGATGTTGTTGTTGTTAATGGTATTCTCACCTCCTTGTGTGTTACTACCAGAATTAATGTTAAATGAATTTATTGATCAGGATAGTGAAGAAAACCTATATATTACTATATAGGGCATAATGCAACAAAACCAGAAAGTGAACATCGGTATTGCCAAAAATTTCAGGGATCACAATCATCACAATTAGTTTTATAATAATAATGTCCATTTGTTAAGTGATATATAGAACTGCCCCTATTACTATATAAGAACAATTAATATGAAGCTAGTCCTACCATGGAACCTAAGAATTATAGTACTATTAGAAGTATTTTGAAAAAATTACTCCTTATATTTTCAAAATAAATGATAAACACTTGAATTTTTATCCAAGAAAAAAGGGATTAAATATGATAATTAATATTATTAATTCATTCTGTTTTTTTTTGTTTCTTCACAAATAAGCAATTATTCCCATAAACAAGACTGTTGTTGTTCCTGCTAAAAAAATTCAAAAAAAATATTACTATTGGCTGTTTATTAGTAAATAAGACTTCATTATCAATCAGTAATTAATGTTTGGTCAGGTGATTTTTCACTGCTTTTAAATTATTATATTATAGTTTTTTAAAAAAAAATTCTGTCAATAATATTTGTGTATCAATCATACATGTTTTGGTTAAATCGCAATATTTGGAGATGTTGTGGATGAATTATATTATCAATATCAGCATTATTAGTTATTAAAATAGATATATAGCCTTGCCTAATTCATTGTCAAGTATATAGATTTTTTTTACTTTTTTATTTATTGTCAGAAACTAATTAAAGATGCATTATTTATTTTTCAATTATTTTTTTTTCTTCTGCTTCCTTTATCCTATAAGTGGTTATTTAACCAACCATTTCTTTTGCAAATGGTGGTGTATAGATGCTGTCTGTAAATGACTTTAAGTGTTCTGTAATATGACAACTCTTATTCTGTAAAAATTGTAAATATTTACAGACAGCATCATTATGGTGGTGTATTTTGATCATCATCATTGATAAGTTACCAAATATTACATTCATTATATGGTTGGCTTGGTCTAAAGACCCCCTATTGCTGCGCCATGCGACCAAATTTCAAAATAGCAATTTTGTGATTCGTTCAAAAATGTAATAAAATTTTTCAAAAAATAGGACTTTGCATGATCTTAGTTTTCTTACTGCCAAATTTAGATACGATAGTCAATAGCTAGTCTAAATTTGGTAATATTTTTCCTAAATTTAGAAATGATTATAGTGGACAAATTCCTCGCGAGCATAGTAAAGTGCATGTTTTAAAAAAGAATAGAACTCTACAACAAATATTTTTTTTGAGAAAATCTCTCTATTACATTAAAACTAAAGTCATATTCTATCAATTAATAGAGCTATTTTTTTAAAAGGTAGGACAGAAAGTGACTTCTATACTTTTAAAATTTGCCCTAAATTTAGGAGGTTTTTAGACCAAGCTCCATGACAAACAACATTGCAAGTTATATAAAAATTTCCTATGCAAGACCATTCTGCTGCTTTAGAAATGCTTCCACATTACTTCACTTTTATCAACTGCTATAAGTTTTATTATTTGTGAATTTATTAAAAGTCAAATAAGTGATAATGGGTCATTTTGTATAATTTGTCTTTATTCTTTTAATAAATAATATAAATAAAAATGGCGAAATTAATTATCCATCAGTAATTTCCAACCTTTTAAAACTTTAACCTTGCCAACCCTTCTTTCAACTACTTATCCTTTATTATAATTAATTAATAAATAATCATATTAATAATTAATAAATTTCAGTTAATTAACTATTTAATTTACCTTGTTGAAATTATATTTCATAACTTAATAAGCTATCATTACTTAAATTCAATTTAGCAATTTCATCATTTAATATTTTGCTTGTGTGATATGCTAATGGATGTTTGTTGCCGCGAACTGCTAATACTAATATTACCACCACCTATGAACAGTCGGGTCGTCAGGTTCATAACAACAATACTTGCATTATTTCGTTTTCCACATTTGCTAATTTTTAGCAGTAATTTATTTTTGCAGAACTCTTATAATAAATCATATTGCTATACATTTTATAATAGAAAAATATTACAATTTCTTTTTCTTCTTTAATTGAACTTATCTCGAATATTATCAGGTGTTTCTCTTTTTGTATATCCAACAGATCCACCAAGAATTTCAATCAATTCTTTAACTTCTGCTCTCATTGTCTCAAAAGAAAATTTGTTGCTTTCTTGTTTAAATAACTCATCCGGCACAGATTGATTAATAATAATATTATTATTATAGTAATAATAAATTGCGGGATTGCAAAATTTTATGCAATAACAGTGATTTCAAAACAGCAATTATGAAGTTTATTCTTTTTTAAAAAAAGGAAGGTCATAATCATAAAGGTAATATCGATGGTATAATTCAAAGAGTATCAAAACAACATCGAGGAAATTTAAATTAAACTAGTCACAGACAATATTAAGCAAAAGATTGAGGTAAATTATTAAAGTATACAATAAATATTTACTGTATTTAAAATACATTAATATGATGATTATAAATTCATTTAATGCGAATCTGATTCATCAAACAAACAATCTTGAAACGATGCAAGAAATGAATATGATGCAAGATATAGAACAAAGAGAAGAAATGAAATAATGTGAAGTAAAGCAAGAAATTGAAGGAAGTGAAAAAGGTTTTTCCAATAATGGAATTGTTGCTGATTAATTTTTGGGAGGGTGAATTTAATTGATGGTAATAAAAATAATAGGTTATGGTGATTTCTCAAGTTGTGATTACGGACGGTCGGGAATGTCTTAGATGGAAATAATCGATGAAGTTTTATTCAAAATTTTAGAAAATTCTGATTATGCAGATTCTTTCGTAGAATAAAAAATAATCGTTTTGCATTAGAGTTTATTATATGTATTTTTCTTTTTTGATACATAATAATAAAGTTTTATATCAAAGAATACTTTCTCACACGTAAACATTTTCTCTTCCCTTAATTTTATCTTTGTGCATGTGAATTATGCATTGTATATAGTAAGCGGGAAACTATTCTTTAATCAGAATCCCATGAAATAATAAAATGCTTAAATAAAAGCCAGCATAAATATTCATACATATTAATATGTATTAATGTAATGAGAAAGTCCCGGAAGAATTAATGTTATACGATCTGTATGTAATTTGTACTTTTTACGCATTTTTATAGAGTGTGGCCCTAATATCATCAAATATGACCAATAGGTGTGTATCTTTTCCTACTGCTCACGTTCCTATGTTTTCTTTTGTAAAGAAGCAAGGTATACGTATGCTTTTCTTATAATAATAATAAAAATAAACCAACCTTAATAATTTATTCTCTATGAAAGTTGTAATTTTTCTCTTCTCATCAAACTCGTCTATTTGATCTTAAAGTTGAAACAAGATTGAAAAGAAGATTCAATTAGTAAACGTTATTATTTATAGAGCAGCCTTTTATTTGTAGAACAGTTTTTACCATACTTCTATATATATTTATATCCATTTTTTTAAAATGGCTGTTTAATAAATCGTGATACCTATAACAGAGCATCCGAGTATATATTATTATTATACTTTAAACAATTATGAAATTTACATCGCACAACATAAATTAAAATTCATCACATCACAGATGATCGTCAAATCGTGATATAAAACGCCACACATAATTATCTATATATGGTTTCTCACATTAAAAAAAATGGCTAATAGACAAGTTAGGCCTGTTATAACTTCAAGGCCAAGTTCAACAATTTCTGAAGATTTGGTTTATAATTACGCTCTTCGCATTGCTTACTTATCTTATTTAACTGAACCTAAAGTTTCAAAAGCTCCAAAGACTACTCCCCCTCCCGTTCCTGTAAATATCGGTCAAGTTAAAATCTGACCTTGAAAAAATAAAAAGTACTTGTGATGAACAGGTATATGGCTGCTGCTAATTTTCACTTTAAAATTTATTTATTAATTGATTAATTAATTTATTTATTAATTTTTATTTTAAATTAAAAATTAAAGGCTGCATTAGAGGATTTAAAAAATTTAATCAACAATGTAAATCGAAATGATCCTTTTCCTGCCTGTAAAGATGATTTTGAATCAAATGATGCTTACAATAATTGGAAGGCTATTGAACTTAAAACTATCTCGGATATAATAGCTACAATGGTTAGATTTAATCCAAACTTAGGTCCAAAGGCTTCCAAAGAGGTTTTGACTACACTTTTAACAAGTAGTTCTAATCCTTCCAAAAGATCTTCTTCTCCAAATTCATTATCTTCAAATCCAAACAGATCAACATATTCTGGTGTTCCTGTCAATCCTGATATTCTTAATGAAAAGTTTGATCAAAAAAACCAACGTTCATCTACACCACCTGGCCAATTTCCTCAGCATTATCAAAATATTTCATTCCAGCCACAACATCCTCAATTTTGCCAACAACAACAGTTATATAGTCAACAACAACAGCCATATCCGCAACATGGTCAACATCAACAACAACCATACCCACCATATAGTCAACAACAACAGCAGCCATACCCACCATATAATCAACAACAACAACAGCCATACCCACCATATAATCAGCAACAGCAGCAGCCATACCCACCATATAATCAACAGCAGCAGCCATACCCACCATATAATCAACCGCAGCAGCAGCAACCATACCCACCATATAATCAACAGCAACAGCAGCAACAACAACAGCTACCATATAATCAACAGCAACCATATAATCAACAGCAACCATATAATCAACAGCAACCATATAATCAACAGCAACCAT